TATTTAATAATCGATTTCACTTAAGATTTAACTAATTTATTTAAATTACACTTAAATCTTTGGATCTAGTGGCATCAAGCCACGTTTAAGTGCATCCTTCCTCCTTCAGGTAACGATTTAAATTCGATATCTTGTAAAAAAAAATTAATTTAATTAAATTAAAATTTTTTTCATTTAATTAAATTAAATAATATTAAAATTGATTCGCATAAAGAAATAGATTTGGAATTGAAAAGGAAAATAATAAGTTAATAATTAAAACTAGGAGACCATAGAAATTTGTTCTTAAACTTAATTGAGCAAATTTTCTTTTAAAAAAAAATTTATAAGGTTTGAATACGTTGCTCATAAAAAGTAAAAAACCCCACTTAAGGAGCCATTCAAGTAAAATTAAAAAAGCTTATATTTCAAAATATTGATTGTTTGGCTACGGGGCACCTATGGCATAGGGTCAGTATGGATTTTCCTTACTCCCATTCACATAATTTCAATGGATTAAACTAATATGTTATAATTTTAAAAGTTAATAGATTAATTAGATATAAAATATAATTAATAAACAAAGTATATGAAAGGTTGAGAATATTCTAATGCTTAGTGGCCAGCGTCCTATATTGTGGGACCTACGCCACATGGTCTCGTGATTCTCGTCCCAATTATTATTATTTTTTGGATTAGTCTCATCCTTATTTTTGGTCCCACACGAAAGAGAATGTATAATATTTGAATTAAAAAATATGTTATAGTATCTCCCGTGCTCTGCTTAGGGTTGGGGCAAAGGCGGCAAGTTTCTCTCTCGAGTCCTTTTTGGTAGCAAAGCTCCTCCTTTTTTGCTTTTCTCTTCCCCTCTCCTTCCCCTTCTTGCTTTCTCCTCTACTTTCATCGCCCATCTTACTTTGGAAACTTTAGCTCAAGGGACCACAAGGCAACAACCTATTCAGATCTACATTTGAGGGTGTTTTCTGAAGGCTTCGACTGGCATAGTGAGGGAATTGATCTTGCTAGTGATTGGTTTTCTCCCATTTATTGTGTAGGGCATCTCCCAAGATGGGATTTTGGCGAGGATCAAATTCGGCAAGGTTAGTTTATTCCAATTTTCGATAAGGTTGCCGACTCCGGAGGGAAAAGGATGTTGTGGATGATGCCAGTTATGGGTGGCATGGGAAGCATGGTGTTCAAGCCACAAAGGGGCTCTAGTTCCCTTAATGGGTCTTGACAGTATGGGATTGCCGAGGTTTAGCAAAGTTGGAAACTTGATTGGGGGTACTCGGTGGCCACTAGGATGCCTATGGTTGTACAGACGATTGACAAAAAGGAATAGGTTACTGTTGATGAGGCCAATCGTGATCTGCAAAGGAAGTATTGTATTCAAAGCTGGGCTGCACTATGCTTGCACTGGGGGTACCATGCCCCTTCTTTTGTTGGTTAATTTTTAGAAATAGATTGAGAGGCAACATGCAGGTTGGGGACTGTTTGTTGTCAGAATCTTTGCTCTCCCCATGAAGCTGGTTAAATAGGTGAGGATGTATAGTAGCTTCTGATACTTAAAGAAACTTTCCTTTCTATTTTAGTAGCACTATTTAACCTATACGGCGATTGCAATTGTAATCTCTAGTTGCAAATGGCTCTCTTTACTTAATTATCTATATTCGTCATTTGTTTAAATTTAGTACCAGTGCTGTAAGTTATGCTTTTGATTTTGTCTTCAGGCTATAATGCTTTAGGCTATATGCCTTGCAATAGAGTTTTTCTATACTTCTTTTTTTAATTAATATAATTTCTCCATTTCTTATAAAAAATATATATATGTTTTAGTAATTAAAATATTAAAATTAATATTATTATTAAAATGTTTTTAATGAACTTTGGGTAAAAAAACTTTATTTTTTAATCAACCAAAAATAAAAGATTTTATTAATATAAAATATAAGGGGTGTTTTTACCCTAAACAAGTAGGGATGGTAATGGGTCCTCATAAAGTTGGGGATCCCTTCCCATCCTCACTCGTCAATAACGTGCATGGGATCCGTCCTTATACCTGCAAAATATGATAGGTCCC